CAGTGTACATCTCACACTCCAGTAAACACACAGACTGCAGGACAGTTATTCTGAATTTTTAGTGCTGCAGTGAAGATTACATTATGTCTGTAGAAAATTTTTATTCCAGCCAAATGGATCACATCATCCAGTTCACTGGAAATCTATGCACATATTTAAAGCAAAAGTAAGTTACATGCGAGCTTTCAATTAAGAAAAATCATGTATGATTCATAATCTTAGCAGAGAATTTATTTTTGTGCAAGAGGTTTTAAATCCCATTGTAAAAGTGGATGAGTAATTTATTCTTACATGTAAGCAGTAAAGGCACTAATTAAGAATTAGTATATTCAGTGCTTAACTCCATCATTTAAAGCAAACATTTCAAAATTTTTGTTTCACCACTCAGCAAAGATTTGCAGTCTACCTGCACTGCCTGGGTGTTCTGCTCTTCTGAAAATACTCTCRGTCTCCAAAGCAGTACATAATAAACCACATTGCTGCTGCCTCTGCGTCTTGCTGCGTGATTTATCAAAAAATTGGCTGGCCTATGAAACTTCTTATTTTTTTATGCTTTTTTACCATGCTTTAAATTGCATGGTAGTCCTTGGATTGCTGGAAGGAAATGAGCGGAAAGCTAATTCCGATGATCTTTTCCCTTGCACCAGAATTCCTGATACTATTGAATATTCTGTACTCCACATCTGTGACAGCACAATGAGCCTTTGTTCATTTTTTAATCTAAAGAGAAATYTGCTGTAGGAGGTTGCACAGGGTGATAGCAGCCCAATTTAAAAGTCTCAATTATTTATTTTTAAAATACTTGGCATCTGTCTATGGAAAATGTACTTGCTTGGTTTCCAGTCTCTTAGAACTGCTTTGAACTCTCTCACATCTTCTGGGATCTATCAAACGCTCATTGTGGCTTTTCTCTCATAAGTGCTGAATGAGTTTGGCCATGATAGTCTGTATTGGATGTAAACTTTGTGTCTTTGTAGTGGGGTAATGAGAGCAAAGAGATGTCATGCACGGGAATGGTGATTTCTGTCTGGATGCCTGTCGTGCCAAGCTGAGAGACGGAGCCTTTTGTTTGTGGATGGGTGGCGGGGAGAAGCCATTCATTGGAAGCAGGCTCAGTTTTTGCAAGCCAGTGACATTTCATAATGAGGGTTTAGTCATTCAGAGRCAATTGCACTTAATAAAATCAGAACTGGTCTCTGGTGGGCAGTATTTCTCAGTAATATGCACATTTTGGACAGCCTGTCCTTACAACATCAGCATGGTGGCAGCCCAGTTTGGCATTAAAATCTAAGCACAGAGCAGGCCTGATATTTTGCCAGCTTTGGGGAACACCAGATTTCTGTAGAGGCTGGAAGAACACAGTTGAATAAAGGTGTTTCTGCAGGGAGCAGATTGTCCTGAGGAGGAGGCGATTTCTTGCTCCCCAGGGCATGGTGGAAGGGTAGGAACTTGGAGACAAAGGCTCTCCAGGCTGGAAAACCACCCACATCTTGGATAGCTGTGGTGTATTCACTTGTGTAAATGTTGTCAGCTGGGAGYAGACCTGGAATTCAGCTTAGAAACTGGAATAGTTGGCCACTGGAGCTTCCTGGAGAGCAGAGACTAAAAAACATGATGTGTTTTCTTAGGGCGACCGGTGATTATCTCATGGGTTATGGCAGAGTGAGGGCTTTCTCTCTAATCCTCTGTTTTAAGGCACTTGTAACAGTCTGAAGATTTGCCCTCAGTGATATTTTTTCAGGCTTAAATCTTTGCTGTACAGCAAATCTCTCTCAAGTTTGAAAACAATTCTTTTATAGTGTGAAGAGTGTCAAAGCATGAAGCTTTTCCATTAAAAGCAAACTCTTGCCCTCTCCCTACCTTGGTAAAGTTCTGTAGCTGCAGTAGTAGCTGTGGTAGCATTTTAGGATGGAGAATGTGTCTTCCTGAAAGAAAAGTACCTTTGTTTCACTAGGGATGGTTTGTCTCAGCTTAGTTTTACTGAAACACTGAAAATTTTGAGTTGCTTGGACACAACATGGTTTTATAACAGATCCTTTCAAGGTAAATGCGAGCACAGCGCTGCRTTGCACATCTGAGATTAAGGAAGGCCATGTAAGCCCTTCCCAGCCGTGTTAGTTGTAATGGKGTAGATGTGAAAGCCTTGTAAATCTCACATATTGTGCCACAGAGAACAGGACACTCATGCCCTGCTGGCCCTGTGCCACAGGGAAGGCCACTTGGAGCAGAGTCAGCAGGGATGTGTGGAACAGAGCATTCTGACTGCTGACAGGTAGTGCCACACTATGAAGGGCATTTCAAGCTTTTCCCATTACTACAGAAGTTACAGCCTTTATTTTATTTTTTTTTTGTGTTGTAAAATAGAAGCTGTTGTGAAATCATATGCAAAAACCTACAAAAATGATGTTGTATGGGGTTGAAATCAGGCAGTGCCACRATTCAGGTTGGATGTGTGAATTTGGGCGATTCTTCATTCTGAGTTTCACAAATAGCATATTATAATAGGATCCAAATTTTCTTTAGCTTRAAAGCCTCTTTGTTGCATTCTGCACTGCTGCTTTGCATGTCCCAGGCAGAGACAGTAGAAGTCATTTATATGCAAAGTGCCCCATATATTGTATATACTAATTATATAATAAGGAGTAATAATGAGAATTTTCTAGCATGTTTAGGCCACTTAAGTATGCGGTGAAATTAATTTTACAGTTAACTGTCTTATTCCCGCTTTGTACATAAAGAACCTTATCCCACCCATAGAAAATATTAAATTAACTATCTACTGATAAATRCATTCAATATTATGTATATTATGTMTAAAAGAACAAAAATACATTGGATGCATTTGCATTTTATTGTAAATTGGGGAAAACARATGAGGCTGTATTATGGAAGAGAACAATATGTGATCACATAATTAGAAAATTGTCATGATACTAATGCTCAGCAGTGTCCAGGTGTGGTTTTATGAGCAGCCTGARCCATGAGGTTTTGAGGGTGTAACTTTACTGTCTTTTTAACATCGTTTTTGCAGGGTATGTCTGTGTAAATTATATAACAGCAATTCCTCAAAYATTCTACTCCTAAAATGTTCCTTCTAGCTGTTTGAGCACATAAGGAAGCTACTGTATGACAGATGACGATAATTTTTCATACGAGACAGTTCCCCTTGACGTGATGGATGCAGAGAGAGGAACCACGCTCTCTGGAAAAACACCAGGGAGCAGTGGTAAAATGCTCCWGTGTGTATGGTAATCAAGGCAGAGTGTGGTTCTTGATTAGGCTGTGAGATTGCACTGCTGAGATGAGGGATCTGAATGAAAAACTCTTTTACCAAAGCCCTTTGCACTGCTATCCAAAAGTGTATTGTAAAAATTAATTTCCTTAAAATGCCGTGAGCAAAATTGATCCAAAATGATTCTGGCATATGCTGAACTCACTCAGTGATGCTTTTCTTCATAAACTCCTGTGAGGACTATATAGTGAAATGTTTTATGTAAGGTATAGATAATTTTAGACTTTATTTTAAAGAGGAGCAAAATGTAATTTGTGAKTGTTTTGTCAGCTTTGGTCTGTGCGGGCTCAACTGAAGTTTAAGCAAATCTACCTGAAACAAACTGTTTTTAATTTCTGCATCAATGAATAGCTATAGCTTGCTCTACATTTGTTCAAAGCACAAATTGACAGAATCTGGAGGCACCACCACCTTTGTGAGATATTGTCAGCATGTGTGTGTGTGCTGCGAGTGTGCTGGGAATAAAAAGGCCAAAGTAGGGGAAGAAAATTGCTTTCATATTTTATAAAGCTAGTGTGAGTGCCAWTTTTTTTTMWTTTTTTTTGTGGGCCATTTGGAGTGTGGTCTTCCTCCTGCTGATAAAAAGTACCTCTACCTCTGAATGCTCTGCTCTTCATGTTGGTCTTTCCCCTATGTGTTTTTTAACTGTATTATACTGGCWAAGGACGTTCCACTACAGCCAGTATATACAGTCAGAAGCAGGGGAATCACTAAATGTGAGTAGCAAGGTATCTGAGCAAGATAAAAGGRTGTAATGTCTCCTGGCTTTATACAAAATATGGGAATGATGATGTGTTTGTGAGTGTGGTAGGATGTGTCATGCAGCACTGTTTTGGAAAAATCCAAACAAGTGTTTGGGTCCAGCAGAGCATTTGCTGGAGGGAGCCATGGTCAGACCAGCACTTTGTTGGGAGACATAGACAGTCTCTGCCAGACTCTRCTTCTCCCTCAAACTATGGATTGTGTTCACCAGCATTGTATGGAGCAAGCTGTTCTTGGTCCTTCCTATTTTTACAGTTCCAACACTTGCTAGTTTGGGGTAATCATTGCTCTCACCTGCTCTTACTTGGGGTTTGTGTAGTTATTAATATTTATTATTCATTAAAAGTCATATATTAGGTTGTGTCTCCTATTTTTTGTCTCATGCTTTTTGTGGAGTACTAATGCTTTGGAAATAAAAATCATGAAATTTAACTGAAGACAGGGAGAAGTGTGACCCTAACTGATAGACCTGAATATCAGAGGCTCATAAAAATGCATTGCTATGGAGACAGACTTTTATCTTACAAATTACTTTAGGAGTAAAGGAGTAACTCTAAACATTGAAATCCTTTTCAAAATTCTCTATGGTTTTTGAGATAAATATGTTTAGCACATTTAGCAGAGCAGGAGATGAGCCTTCAATGTGCAAAGAAATGCAGAGATGCTGGCAGAAAGCACAAAGTTTACCATCTGAACAGACTGACCATACTGTTTATCCTTGGGTTTGGTATTAAAATGCATTGCATCGACTCTGTTCCCTGCTTACTGTCCCAGCAGGGCAGCCATGCCATTAATCAAGATGCTAGTTAAACAGTATTGTTCAGCAGAATTCCTTTATCTCAGGTTCATAACACCGGGTTTATGTACAACGTGTATGCATTACCTCATGTGAAAGCTGTATGAATCAACACTAATGTGATTCTGTTGTTGGTTTTAATTTTTGCAGATGCAGATTTACTTCTACAATCCTGATGACTTTGACAGTTTTGGAACAGCAGTTCTAGAAAACAGAGTAGTAGGAGCCATGGCTGTGTTTTTTCAAGTAAGTTTAAACAAAGGCTATATCCATAAACCAAAGTGTTCACCAAGTACTATTTAATTCATTGAATTGTTTCAAGCTTAATGGATGCATCTGTTTTCTTGTTCCCACCTGTCTAAGTGAAAGATATTTCATATTGTCTAYGTGTGATTTAAAATGTAAATAAGTATATTTAAAAACATAATGAAAAATTTTGCCTGGATTGTTCTGACTTTATAGCTATTCTACAGATGCAGATTGGAGAACACATTTATCATGGAACTTCCTTCGCTGCTGAAGCACATTGCTGCAGTCCCTGGAATACTAACAAACCAACACCAACTGGTTCTGTTTAGGGAAAAGTTAAAATTCAAACATAGCTTGAGAGAAAATTAATCAATAAGTTTCATCAATCTTATCTSTAGCAGCTTCTTCTAAATTGTCATAGTAACAAGTTCTTGAACAGACCAGGTTTCCGAATGAGTGAATTTATGCATCTGCTTGTTTGAAATGCATCCTGAGCGATGCAGATCTGGGGCTGCTGGGTGGGCTCATTTGTGGCTCCACACTCCCAGATCTGCAGCGTGGGGCAGGGACTGCTGCTGGGGTCACCCATGGCAGGGACATTCGTCAGCGTGGGCTTTGTCACCTCCTGTCAGAAATGGGGTTTTACCTCTCTGACTCGAGGGTGAATTGAAGGGAGGGGGGTGCAGCTGCTCCACACCACCAGGATGTCACAGGCAGAGAAGTGGCTAATGAAGATTTGAAATATCTTGAGGTCTTGCTTTTCAAAAGAGAGGAAAGGAGGGAGGGAAGAGCAAGGGAAAATGCTGATCCTTTGTGAGGTTTCACACTAGTTTTTTACTGATGAAGAAAGTGATCTTGCTGTTATCTTTGTGAAGCCAGATAAAAAGGAATATGCAAGTACCCATATGTAAATACCTCCCTTTTTCTTATGATGTTAGAGTGACAAGYCTGACTCTGCTGCTCAAATTAAGTAAGGTTGTCTTTTTGCATGTCACTGATTTTGATCAAATGCTTTGATAAGGAGAAAAGGACAGATCCTTGTATTGCATAAATTGCTGTAACTCTGCTGACATCAGGATAGTGGAAGGAGGCATGTTAAATTCATCACTGCTGGATTCTGAGCACTTCTGTGGCGTTTCATATTAGGGCAAAGTTGGTGGAGCTGTGATAATTTACAGTGGCATAGCAGGATGATGATTCTCCAGACTTCTTCATCTCGATGTGCTGCGGGAAGCTTTGGGCAAATTGAATTTGGCCACATGGGACAGAAGCACAGAAACAGAAAARCCAAAGGCTGTCAGAAGGAGCATGGGTTTGTGCCCCAGTGTGCAACMAGTGTTGTGGAATTTAACTGCTAAATTACCCTGATGGGCTTCACATCAGCCATATGAAGCACTGRCCTATGTTACACCATTTGCTAGTCTGTATGTGACATGTATTCCCTAAATCCCTTTTTTAAGAGTATCTTAAAATTGTGGTGGGACTGTGTTTGGTATTCCCCACCTGCAAAGCCAGGTGCTGCCCTTACTGCAAGTCCCTCTTTGCACAATTCCAAGGGAGCCATTAAACTCACTAAAAATAACCTAAAATAGTCTGTTATGTTGTTAAAAAACCCATCTTTGATTGTAAGAGACCTCAGGCTTTTCAGGACCACAACAGAGTGTTGTAGGCTCCTCAGGGAAGCAGAAATCTACACTTTCCATCATTTCCAGCCTTGCCAGCCGCAGGACATGAGGCTGTAAAGTTTGGATGATGGTGCAGCTGAACTCCTCTGCTCTGAGAGCTGTGAAATCTGAGCCCATTACTGATAAACACACTTTAATCTCTTCCAGAGAGTGGGGGTAAGGTAATGCTTTGTCAAAGTGACCCAGGGACAACCTGATTCGCAGCTGTAAGGAAACGGCTGTGGGGGTTTTAAAGTTTTTTCTTTTGCCTTTGGGTTGAAATGAGAAATCAGTGCTGTTAAACTTGCGAGTGTACCAGGTTTTCCTTCTGGGCAGCTCTGCTCCAAGACAGAGAACAGTCAAGGAAGATTTGTAGAGCCCAGAGTCCCCAGCCTGGAAGGGCATGTGCTGAATTCTGGCCTCTGTAAATAAACTCTAAGGACACCAGTGTGACAAATGCTGTTTTGGCCATCATGAGGGTGTTCCAGAACCAGTCCCACAGGACTTGAGTTGTTGTACATAGGGTTAGCATGGGGTTATTAATGGATGATGATAATCCTTTGCAGATCCATACTGTGTTTGTGTTTTTTTAGCTCCCTCAGTTGTGGATCATGGGCTGGGCTTGGTGATCCATGACTTAGGAAAACCTTTTTAATGAGAACACTTGGTGTTCCCTGAGCCTTGCTCCCCAGGACTCCAGTAAGYTTGCCAGGGCTAGTATTTCATACAGCTGATTTAAAGTTGTTTTAAAACGGATCCTTAGTGACTTTTGAATGAAATATCCCTAAGATGCCCATGCTCACATTTTGATTGGTGTCTTCACTTGTTCAAGTGCAATTGCTTTCTGTTTTTCATAGCTTGAGTCATCTTGAACTCATWTACCTATCATACAGCTTTTAAAAATTGTAGCAGGAAAGGTCATACTGTTTTTTACAAATGCATTAGAAAACTGAATCATGCATGCTTTTCTGTGTAAATATTTTAACATAAATTATTGGATACATTTGCCATTAAGTCCAGACTTGGATTTTTGCTAATGTGGTAATGCTGTGTTGGAATGAATGTGTACAGCACTGGCAGAGTTTATAGTCTGGCAGGTGTTTTTTGTTTGACTGGTGTTCACAAATGTTCCTTTGAAAATCAGGTTCTCCAGTGAGTGAACATTATACTGAACTATATAATTATTGGTGAAACATTAAATAATTAAGAACCCTCTTTCTTCCTTTTTAAATAATTTAACTTGGACTATATAAGAATTTTCCTTATTGAATTCATTATTTCAGGAGCAATTTCCAGGTAAAGTACATTGGTTCTGAACTTGGATAATTGAAGCATTTGGAACTTTGTTGTAATTAAATCTATGCTTTTCTCATTGCTTTCATTTTAAGCTCTGTTGATAAATGCTATTTCTGTTTGTGTGCTGCAGGTTAGTTGATCTGCCAAAACAAATTGCTAAACTAAAAAACAATTCTTGCAAATACAAACTGCTATAACTGCTCAKCTCTGTGTCTCGTTGTGGATAGACACTGGGAGGGTCTCTCACAAAATTGCTCTGTGGGGGCTCTATAGCAGGTATTCTCAATTTGCAAATGAGATGAGCTGGCCTGAATTTTTGTTGTTAAAGAGAACCCACTTTTTATTTTAGCAAAAATCAAAATCCCCTGGAGACAAATGAGAGAATCTCATGCCACGTGAGACCTTGCCTTCTGACAAGTTTTTAGGAGAATGGATTGTGGCCATTCCTTTCCCTATTACGGTGATTTGGTGTTTCTCAGAGTGAAGCTGGTGATGGTGGGAGATGTTTACCTTGATGAACCCATCACCTCCTGCTGGCAGCATCCTCTTGGCTGGCAGGAAAGGCTTCTGGATTTGCAGGACTGGTAGCACTGCAGTGACAGACCCAACTGAAGGACCCTGTTTTGTGGGAATCCTAAATGAGCCTCTGGCTGCACATCGGGACCCAYCGGCTGCTGAGCACACGTGGCAGGTCCCAGTCCAGCCAGGCACCTCAGGCTCCATTTAAATGATCCTAACTGGAATAGGTGGTGCACATGTTTAATTTCAGCCCACGTAAGATTGAGCTTGTGGTTARTGATGTTCTGGCTCCGGGCCGTGGTTAATTGTCAGGCTGAGCTGGCTTTGAAGCAAGCCAGGAGAGGAAGGCAAGGCCCAGGTCTGTCATGGTTCCTGAGTCATCCGTTCATCATACATGTCATACATATTTATAAGTCACATTTAAAATGAGTAGTTACTTGGATTAAATGCATTCAGACATATTGCACGGTTCTGTTTTAGCCATCTAACAATATAATTCATTGCACACTTCACTACTTGCTTTATTAAAGCCAAACTTAAATGTGTTCAAAACAAACATATTGCTTTTGCCTTTGAAATATTCATCTTTTAGTCCTGCGGTAGATTCATTATGGCAGAGAATACTTCATTCCTTGATTACTGCTGTGAAAAGACACAATACTGATTCCCTAAGCACTCATCAAATATTCGATAGCTCAGAAATTCAGGAGGAGGTGATGGAATTCTTGTTCCTACAGGGAGGGCATATAAATCTATTTTATATTTGCAAAGAAAACCATCRGTGATTAGTTACTGTGTCTCAGGTACTCAAACAAATCATCTCTAAAGAAGTTAAGTAAAAATGAATTTTAAAATAACTTTTAGCAATGCTTTCATCATTAAAATTAGCTCCATAATGATGAGTGATGTTGATACCTCGATCACTCAAGAGCTTCAGCAGTGCAGAGCTGGATTTTTAAAGGTAATTAGGTACTTGGCAGCAAATGTGCAGCTAGCAGTATTTTAAGAAGTACATGGGATAAAAATCAAGGAGTTTACAGGTCTTTTGCTGGGTTGCCATTCTTAATTTTCTTTTTCAATACTGACACRTTTTTGTAAGGTGTTGAAAACGATACTCTGTACACCTTTTAACTTTTAGATCTATGGGTGTATTATTTGTATATAAATTCTTTGTATTTACTACTTTCTCATTTATCCAGAGATTTGTTCTTCAGTAAAATGARTATTGGAGGCCTTTCTTTCTGTGAGATTTTCTTGGTAGTAGTTCTTGGTCTGCTTCATCAATAAGATCAATAACTCACTTTTCACTGGGGCCTRAATGAGTTGAACACAGAAACACCATCAAAGCCATTGAATATTTGCCAAAAATATGGTTTTTAGTATGTATTTCTCAAACAATAAAATTCAGCTTTTAACTTCCCTTTAGAAGCCCTTCTGTCCCCTGTTCTTCCCTTTCATTAACTGTTTCATTTTTTGCCATCACAACCAAATTAATTCAGTGAATTAGGGCTTTAAATA